CTCCCCCAACCTCAACAGACTTACCAGCTAGAGGCAGCTGTGTCAGCTGCCTGTTTACTCCATGGCCGAATCTCCAAAGCGGCCGAAGCTTTTCTGAATTGATTTGGATACTTCAAATAGATTTAGAGCTTTTAATTGGTCTCCTAATTCCATTCGGATTCGAAGATTCAGTCCCCGAATTGGGCCAAATCTCCTCCGAATTTAATCAGCTACCGAAGCTTCACACAGCCCTACTAAATTGCATCCCCAGTGACACCCAGCATGATGAGATTGTGCGCCTGGCGACAGGAGGTGAAAATGGATCAGAACCTCAAACCATTTGACTCATTAATACACAGGAAGAACAGCATTCAGCTCCTGCTTTCTCTCACCTGTGCTGACTCTGCAGGGCTAACAGGGGCAAAAGGCAGGACAAGCAACCTGCCAAATTCTGAATGCACATAAGTAGCAGATCTGCTGTGAGTAGGCACCATTTTTATATAAGCAATTATCAGAGCAACATCACATGGGACATGCCAAACAGTGCATCTAATGAATCATTCTATCCTTAACTTCATGGCTGACCTTTTCTACTCACAATGCTTTTGTTAACCTCCTTTCTTCCCCTAGCTGATCCTGAAGCCAAATCTACTTGAGTCTCTCTTTAAGAGGCCACTTCTGGACTTATTCAGGCAAATAACAACACATTTGTTAGGGAAGGAAGAAAAGCCACACCAAAAGGCCAAAAAATTTCTAAATGGGACAAAAGTCCAGGAATTCACCCCAGGCTGAGTCATTAATATCTTTTTAAACTTCTTAAAAACAGGCAAATAATGTTTTGATGCCCAACATGAAGTCTATTAAACGGATTTGATACTGCACTGGTAGGACTCTCAGTATTAAGGTGGCTGCCCCTTTCATAAAGCCTGGCCTGACTGGAGAACACCAGATAGGACTTGGAAATGATCCAGAGCTCAGAAAACTGAGCAGCAAACTTTATCTGTAAAGGAAAGTCACATCCCAGTGTATCGTGATGAAAAAAAAGAGCCCCCATATTTCAGATTCAGTGGGAGGGGAAGACCTGGAAGCCAGAAATACTGAAAAAAAATCACAGGAGGTAGGAGTTTGGCACTATGATGATTTAGCAGCAAGACAAATATGAATACTAGCCTACATATAGATGCACGCCTCTATCAACATAGCTTTGGTATAAAATCTTAGAAAAATATGGCTAGAAAATATATCAGAGAGGTCATCTAGTCCAAGCCCCTGCTCAAGACAGGCCCATCCCTATCCAAACCATCCCAGCCAAATGTTCACCTAACCTACACTTAAAAGCTTCCAATGATGCTTTTAAGTTGGCTTCTTCCTGTGTACATGTGATTCAGGGTAAGGAACCTGTCTGCTAATCAGGGCAGATTGATAAATACCTGATTTAAATCAGCAAGCCAAAAGCCCAACATAAATAATTGATTTTTATCAACTTTTCCATTATATATATATATATATTTGTTTTTTAAAGAAAGGTATATTTTCACTGGTTGATACAACTAAAACACGTTGATTTGCAACTACAGTTTTTTAGTAGATTTGGTACACATTTCCTAGGTACACAAACTATATATTTTAGAAATCCTACATTTCAGTATGCTATAAAATAGTGAAATATATATTTCTTATTCACTAGATGATTACATTTTTTGTACATATTTGTATCAAGCTACATTAAGATGGAAACTTAAATTCAATTAAACACACAACCAGCACTTCTAATTTATTAAACAAAACTTTAATGTTCCGGATACAGAAACTTAAACTTTTAAAATCAACATGTGGTGCACATTTACAGCTAATTAAGTTATTAAACACTGGTATTAAGTGTTATATTATTTAAACTATGAACTGTAGTTAATGAATCAGACCAATTATTTTGGGTCACCTTGGGGAAAAATTTCTAAAAAGCCTAGGTGAAAGCCATTTGAACTTAAGTTCCTACTTTCCTAATTCTCTTTAAAATGACTTTGACCTAGGCTGTTCTGATCATTTTTACCCCTTTGTTTCAAGATTTTAGAGCTCATAAATCTCAGCCTCCTCCCACTTTGTATGCATAGTCTGGAAGAGAAAAAACAAAAACTTTCCTGATTTTTCAACAAGCAAACAAACAATTTCTCTGCTTTGAATAAACAAGTCCAAATGAAGAAAATATTCTTTCTGCACCTGCAAAGGCCTTTGTACACGCCACAAAATTAGCCCTTAAAGCAGCTTAAATGTCCTTTTGTGCCACTTTAATGGCGTTTCTGTTTACACTATCAGTGGCGTATTGGGCGTTAATGGCGCTAATGTTTACTCTGTCAGCAACGTATTGTGCATTAAATGACTTTGGGACATAGCAAAATAAAACATGCCCGAGGTGTTTTAGTTTGCTACCTTAGTAGCTGCGGAGGGAAGCACCGGGCTGTGCAGCTAAAGGGCTGTTCAAGCCGCCCCTGCAGGCAGGTCCCACTGAAGAAAGAAAAAAAAAAACCCAGCAGTGAGCCTGATCTTTTTTTTCCCTCTCCCTGGAGCCTGCCTGCTTGAGCTGCGCAGGGGCCCAGTACTTCCCTTGGCAGCTGCAGGGGGCCCAGAGCTTCCTTCGGTGGCTGAGATTCTCCCCGGGACCATCTGGGCCAGGTGCCACCTGGGTGGTGCCACTGCCACAGGGGGAAGCACTGCCCCCGCTCCCCTCCACAGCTCAGGGACTGCTCAGAGTGCCGGCAGCTCACCCTCCCCCCACCGCCAGAGAAGCAGGTAAGGATTAGGCCTGACCCTTGTGTACACGCCATGGAGGCTTACTTTGATTTAAATTGAAGCGGTGGGTTTTTAAAAACCCACCGCTTCAATTTAGGGAGAATTAAACCTTCCTCTTGTGCGTGGATGACCTCTACCTGACTCAAGAAGTCTATGGGCCAACGAGAAGTAAAGTGCTGCTTGACCTGGTACTGGCTACTGGGGATGACCTAATCAGTGACCTAGTGATCGATGGGAAGCTGGGTGACAGCGATCACAAGCTGATCACCTTCACCATCCGCCATAAAGCTGGCAAGTCAGTCAGCAACACAGAAGTCCTTTACTTCAGGAAAGCCG